TCTTTCCACCTCCTCCATCTTGATCTCCACTCAACTCTCCTTCACTGCCCTCTTTTCCTTCCTCGTCGTCCGTCAACGCTTCACCGCTTACTCAATCAACGCAGTCATCCTTCTGACTGTTGGGCCCATAGTATTAGGGTTGAGTTCGAGCAAGGACAGGCCGGAGGGTGAATCCAATAGGAAGTACTACTTAGGGTTCTTTATGACCATCACGGCGTCGGTGCTCATAGGGGTGATCCTACCGTTGACGGAGAGGACGTATAAGATGGTGAACGAGGGGATGAGTTATGTGGTGGTGATGGAGGTTCAGTTTGTCATCGGAGTTTTTGGGAGTGTATTTTGCCTAGTGGGGATGCTAGTGAGCAAGGACTTTGAGGTACGTATTTGGTCTCTTGTCACTTCAACTCCAACTCCTTGACAGGGAATAGTGGGCGAAAAATTCCCCAAGGACCCAAAATATGGGACCAACAGAGGGACATGTGAGGTGTCCATCTCTAATTGCATAATGAACTAGCCATCATTAATGATGCCAGCTCATTAAGCAATAGGAGGGGGACACCCTACCTGTCCCCCATGTTAGTCTCATATTTTGGGTCCCTGTAGCAAAGTTCATAGTGGGCTTTTTCCCTTTTTTTATTTTATTTTTTTGTAGCGGCACAACTAGGGACAAAACCGAGACCCGGACACCCGGGTCGGGCCCGAGCCTGAGCTTCAGGTCGGCGCGATTTTTTTATTTTTTTATTTTCAAGAATAAATTGCAAAAAATTAAATAAAATTTTGATAAAACAATCATATTATTAATCACTTGTAATTATATGATTTATAAATACAAAAAATCATAGAAATTAAAATGATAAAAATAACTTTTTTATTAATAATCAGTTAATCATATGAAAAATCATAATTTAACAATTAACTAAAAATCTCTACATATGAGAAAACCATAATTTAACAATTAACTAAAAATATCTACATATGAAAATGACCGGGCAGGCCCGGTCATTTTTATTTTTTTCTTTTTTTTGTAAAAAATTGCTAAAAATTAGATTAATCTTATTATATTTATATAAGTATGTATTAATATATACTTACAAATTATTATATAACTATATATTATATAAACATATATTATATGTAAATATATTGTATATACTTATACGTTATAACTAGAGAGAGAATCACAAAAGTATATATTACTTATTTATAAATATGTATTATATAGTTATATATGCATTTGTTAAATACTTACCTTATGCTTATTTAAGTATAGTTATACAATTTACTTATATGATATATTTTTATATATACTAGATGCAATATACTTATATATTATTATACTTATGCACTTATATAATATACTTATATAATTGTAATTCTATAATAAACACATATAAGTATACTTATAACTTCATTATATATATATTTATATTGTTATATCTTAGTATCTATACCATGCTATATATATATAATATATATATATAATATAATATATATCATTATATATATAGTATATAGTATATATTATATACTATTATATATATATATATATATTATATATATATATAGAGAAGAGACCGAGAATTGACCAAGAAAGTCTTGATCTTGAAGAGAGAGAGAGAGAGATATAATGGTATCATATGTCATATGCAACGGAGGATTCCTTCATATACAATGATTGGCACAATCTTCACCCAATGTGAATAAGTAGCCGAGAGAGAATTGCTCATAAATACACTTTGGTGGAGCATATGCCACTCATTTATATGAACGGGATCTTTCATATGACATATTGATACCCATTAATCTCATATATATATACTATCATATATATATATATATATATATATATATATATAATATATATATATTAATACGAATTATGGTATACTTGCTCCAAGCCCACAAATTTCGTGCAATTGGTAGTGAACGTTTTATTCCTATCACACCTCAAAGGGTCAATTGGGAGGTACCACATTCAACCATCCGTGAATGTGATTGTCCCCCCATTTTGAATGAAGTGGAGGTGAATATGCCACATCATTACCAAGCCACAATTTGTGCTTGGTTCCAAGCATACCCCATTATCCTCAGTATATATATATATATATAATATATATATATATATATATATAATATATATATATATATATATATATATATATATATATTATATAGACAGAGAGATGAGAGAGAGAGAGGAGAAATATGGGTATGCTTGTTACCAAGCACAAAAAGTTGGCCTGCTTGGTAGTGATGTGTCATATCTCCCTCACACTCATATCAAAATGTGTGGGACCACCATTCACATGGGTAATGATGCCGATGGAGGATGTGACAATCACTACAAAGCACGCAAATTTTGTGCCTTGGTACCAAGCATACCCATATTTTCTCATATATATATACTATATTATATATATATATACTTATTATATATATATATATAATATTATATATATATATATAATATATATTATATCATAGTATATCATATATATATATATATATTACTATTATATATATATATATATATATTATATATATATATATCATACCGGCCGGTCCGTCCAAGCTTCACCAAGACAGGCCTTAGGCTCTGGTCCCTAGGCCGTGAGCCCGATTTAGGTCCGGTGTTCTAGGCCAATGATGCCCGGGTCCGGGTCATGCCCGACCCCAGACCTTGGGCCTGAATGGACACCCCTAGACACAACACCTAATTTTTATCTCCTTCACTAGATTAATTTTGATTTTTTAGATATAAAGTGTTGTGCATTCTACTTTTTAGGAGAAATAGATGTCTCTCATTGATTCGTTGCTCTCTTTCTCCCTAGCTTAATTGTTTTCCATACCAAAAGTTGGCAATCATTCAGCTGCTTGTTTCGAAAAAAAAACCAAGTTAATGCCTTTCCAAGAAGCTTCGTGCAGAATTTTGAGGGTTTTTTTTTAGTTTTTAGTTTTATTTTTTATTTTAGGAAATAAAAAATTACACATATGTTGATAACAAGCGGGCAACAAGCTACGCCGCTAATCCTTTCTGAATTGCAAAACCTAACTTACGAAACATGTACTCAGCCGACCCCGCTGTCGCCACATTCTTATTCATGAATTTCTATACCCTCCTGAGGAACTCTATCGCATCATGTGACGCCATTGGGTTCACACAAGGCTGCAATCCAAGGTAAAACCAAAAATATCAAACCTGCCATGCACCACACCGTGTAATAACATATTTCACCATCACAATTACTATCTCTCTAGTAGAGTCAATAAAAGGTGTAGGTACAAAAGCAAGTAAAAGATAATAAAGAAATCAACAGATGGAGTAATAGAGATAAATTTAATATTCCTTCATCTAGCATACTGAAGTACAAAACAACGTCTGAAATAAATAAACTGAAGTACTCAACAAGTCTCAAATACAAAATATTTGACAAGAGGAAATAAGACACACAGCCTTTACAACTTCTAGAATAAAACTCTCAAATGTCTAAACAAAAGTCTACAATGGAGCTCAAAAGAAAAATATAACTAAATAGACAGCTGAAGCTAAAATACATCGCCATCAACCTGCAACTCTCTGGGCTCCTAGCTCGTTATCTGAAAGGGGGAGGGACAACGAGCGTCAAAGCGCTAGCGAGCAAATCACAACCAACCCTAAGAGAAAGGGCTCGTTGTATACAGAAAATACAGTTAATGCATATATATATGAAATCACTGATCCTATTTAGGTCATTACAACATGAGCATAAGTACGTCGAGCGAAATAATCCAAACAAGGAAACCCTCATGTATATACCATATAGCTCAAATTGTAAAACCCTAAATACCAAACCTAAAATCTAATACAAGAATAAAAATAAAAGAAGACAATCCTGTCTCAGAACTTAAATACAGTGTCATATCACAACTCACATAAGTGTCATGTCCAGCCTATGCAAATATAAGTGTCATGCTCAAGGTCTATCTGGTGTCCAACACATGGACGAAAAGGTAACTATCCAACACGAGAACCGAAATGGATTATAGTCCAACACGAGGACTTAAATGGATTATAGTCCAACACGAGGACTGAACAAACTGTGTATATATCGATGAGATATGTGGAAAGATATACCTATACGAATTTCGCACGCGTCTCAGTGTGTAAACTTAAACTTTGTATCCGTGTGTTATCTCACATGTAAAGATACAGGTTAAACAATAATTTCTAATACCTGTTATTCGAGGCAACTCCTCGTTCATATTAAAGCACGCAACTATAATAAACAAGCATAAAAAGTTTCAGTGAAACTAAAGCAACTCAAACAGATCCAAAACCGAGGAAACTGGAAAATTCCTCATCAGTCGACTCATTGGTCGACTGGGATTGGTCGACTCATTGGTCGACCAGACAGAACAGAAGAAAAGAAAGAAGGCTGAAAATTTCCTGTCAATCGACTCATTGGTCGACTCATCAGTCGACTCATAAGTCGGCTGATAAGTCGACTCATTGGTCGACTGAGCAGAAATTTCCCAGTTTTCTGTTTTCGTTGATTTTCTACAAAAATTTAAATCTTAAGTTTCTCTTCATTATTTCCAGCAATTGTAAACATGATTCCTACATACATATGTATCAAACTGAAACAAAAATTTGCATGTGATTACTTACACAAAACCCTAAATATATTTTTCCATATTTAAAGCGCATTAAAATTAATAAATCACATGAAACCCAAGTTCAAACAAATTCCAGATCTGGATCTACATTTACAAAATCGTTGGTGAGTTTTTATTAAACTGAAAATGTAGATCTTGCTGCTCATAATATAAAGTATCTATCTTTATGCACAAAAATACGTTTTAGGCTCAAGAAAACGAAATAAAACTCGAAGAAAACTATACAAACAGTGGGTTAGAGCTGGGCGAGATGTTACTCATCTCTGGTATGCTAGAACAACTCCTGAATCCGAGAGAGGATGATTCCCTTCGCTGCACCTCGCCAAAACCCGCTGAAATCCTCCGAAAATCCCCAAAAAATCATCCAAAAACGAACTAGGGTTTGAGGGAAGAGAGGGGCTAGGGTTTTCTCTGGGATTCTGATGGGTTTAGGGTTGGTTTCGGGTAGGAGAGGTTATATACAAACAGTCAAACCCGAAACAAAACCAAACCAAACCCGCAAAAGAAAAGAAAAACTGAAAATCAGCCCGTCAGTCGACTCATAGGTCGACTCATCAGTCGACTCATAAGTCAACTGAGCAGACATTTCCAAGATTCGTGCATGTTTTGCTAATTTGTCAAAACCAGTGCACAAAACTCTATAAAATTACACACATACTTTTCTAATAACTTGTTATCAAGTATATCCATGACCTCAAGTCCTTTACTACAATAGAATTA